TCAGCTTCCTCGTCTGTCCCGGCGTGTTTACAAGAGATAGCGAATTGAGGTGTTGTTGAGTCCAATAGGTGTTCCCGACGGGCTGACTGGATGCAATCGTCGACACTTGCCATGATGTAGAAGTCGTAGGGCGCCTCGGGAAGTTTGAGGTAGGGTCTACTGTGTGCTGTAGCAGGAACGGCAATGACGGTCTCGTCGGCAAAATAAAAGATGCCACAGGTGTTTCAGGCCCTGTTCTAACAGTAGAGCTCCACATGGAGGTCTGGATGTGTCGTAGAGGTTGTAAAGGCATGAGATCGTATATCATGCCGGCCGGGAGCTGCCGTCCGTTGTCAGGAAGACTTTGAATAAGGAGCGACAACAGGCTATGATGTAATCCCTGATTACTCAGCCCTCAGGTCTTGATCAAAGCTCAAGATTTTGGTACTTGTATGGATGTACGATACATAGAGGCATAGAAAGTTCCAGTAGCGGCACTTGCACTTGCCTTCCTCGGGTGTCCAACCCCGTTCAACCCCGTCGCGCTTACGTATGTCACAGTAAACCAATTACATGGAATGCACCTATGCTTGCGTACCATAGTATGCATAATCAGGAGCTGATGTCACCAACATAAGAAGTAATTTCTCACACAAGCAGTGCGACTTCCTCAGTCTTCCACGCATACAGTAGGTCGATGCGTGCAACGCCTGCGAGTCAGTCATCCTTCCTATTCTTCGTCTTCTTCTGGAGCCTGATATCCTCTCCTGTTTCGGGATTTCTCTTGCAACATCCTTTTTCAAGAAAACACCAATCTTGTAGCAGATGTCTCTCCTCACCCGAACTCGGTCCCCTCCCCGGCCCTGCTCCCGGGCCTCCTCCCGAGCCCTCTCCTCCCCTGCCCAGGTACGGGGTCTTGTACTAACAGAAGGAAAACGTCAATGACTGAAATGAGGGATAACCTGAAGCCCATACAATGGCCTTAAGCATGCATTCTGAAGTCAGTCGGTAGGGCTTGCATTCTCTTACCACTGTCAAACGTGCTTTCGAATTATCAGGGACTGCCACTTACTTTTCGACCTCTGTATTTGCTTCCCACGTTGACAGTAAAGGCATTGTCACCGTTCTAGGGCCGGATGGCGCGCAGCTCAGAGTGATTGAAGCGAAGCCCGGATCCAACCTGAGAAAGACCCTACAAGCCAGCAAGATCGACGTGTACGACCTGATGGGCAAGATGACCAATTGCAATGGGTAAGGATGGGTAACCCAGATCCAGGAAGTATCTCTCGTGACTTTCTCTACGATACATCTTACAAGCATGTGAGACTGAGACATATTTATGGCGCCACTCCTTCTTCATCTTCATACAGAGCGGGTCAATGCGGCACTTGCGTCGTAAAAGTCACTAGCCCGTCCTGGGGTCTCCGCAGTGAGTATGAGGCAGACAAGATTCTCAAAGGGAGAAAATTCGGGGAAAGCGAGGAGTATCGATTAGCCTGTCAAACGATAGTAGAAAGAGGGGAGGCGACTGTGGTGGTTCGACCGCCCAAGAAAGGAAAATGACCATCGGAGATGACGCAAGCAAAAGCAACTGGAAAGAAAGAGGACGTTTTGCCAATGCACTTGCGCCTTTTTCAAATCTGTAGTCTTTCTTTCTCCTGTCGTCCTGCACATTTGTTGTTATGATGAGGAATTACTATTCCCACGCCCCTTGGATTTGCAGCATGCTCCAGCCTTCTAGGATCAGAGCCTCGGCCACGGCATTACAAGGTGGACCCGCATCTCCGATAACGCTCCCTAAATTAATGCCCGTGCTATTCATATAGCGAGACAATGTCTTTCGATCCTGTCTGTTATTCGCCAGCGAGGAGAGAGCGCGAAACGAACAAGCGCAATCATCTGCAAGACAGGAAGGGGGAAGACAGTAAGGAGAGATGAGAAGTCATTGAGAGGAGGGAGAAAGCCATGCGTGGATACACAAACTTACATGCACACGCATCACTTATGTGGCTAGAATTTTTACTATTAAATCCGAACAGCCCTGTTTGGAGAAAAAAAAAAGTTACATCTCTTTCCCGTTCAAATTATGTCCTTTCATAGTAATTGCCCTCACCTCGATTCACACTTCCATCCGCCAAAATGTTCTTTGCATAACAACGGAGTTCTGAGGCAGCTTTGGCAAATGTTAAAGCCTGGTTGCACTGAGGCAAAAAACCACCGTTCTCAAACCTGACGATATTAAAATTGTGGAAGGGTTGCGAAGAAAACAAAAAAGAAGTTATATGTGCTTGGGCTGTGAGTACAGTTTCCATTTCATTTCACATATCAGCCCTCCTGATTGACGCCAACTCACCATTGTCTGGCAAATTGCTCGGAGCTCAGCGGCCGCCAGAAGGAAACAATCCAACAAAAAGCAAGGGAAAGAAGGCCCATCGCCAGAGCGCCGGGGTACTTGCCTATAAGAGAGGCGATGCCCTTGCTATTTCTCCCCCTTTTCATCACGGTGACTGGCTTTGGGACGCTTGTACCTATGAATGCTGTCCGGCGTGGCATGATCTGCTGCATACGTGCAGAGTCGGCAGGTGTGAGCTTTTGCCTTTCGTCTATGTTGAGGTTTTTGGCGACGGTCTCTGGCGACTCCGACCTGTGATGTGCGGCGGATTCTTCTCGTTGTCGTGCGGCGCCCTGGTATGCATGTGCTTCGCAGAAGAGAGGTTTGAAAATAGTGCCAAAGCATACCGAACTCTACGGAATAGAAATGCACAAGCTGGCTGGCCACAGCACATGTTTTTTCGCGCGAGTACTTTCGCTGCCCTCCTTTAACCTCTTGTCCATTTCTGTAGTCCTTGAAGGTTGTCACGACGTTCTTATGGGCTATATGTCGCTTCCATGCGTGTGACAGGGTATGAACACTCAGGAATTAAACTTATTTATGGGAAAGTCTACCAAGAGATCGGGAATGTGATTTTTAATATGTCAGCAATAGGAGATAAAAAGACACTTCAACTTTCCTGAAAGCTCGTGTACAAGGCTGTAGATGAAACCTAGGCAAAGCTCCTGCAAGGAAAATAAAAATTTAGTATTTCGCATTTCTTTCCAGCTTGACGTGCATAGCATTGATGTCCTTATTTTCCTTTCACTTCCCTCAAACAATTTCAGGGAAGCAACCAACTAGAGCAGTCGGACACAGCAACAATAGAAAGGAGCGGCAGAAGAAATGCTGGATGCTATTTCATATCTCGTCTGGGGGTTAATATACATCATAGCCGGATTCGGGATTCTTGCCGTGGGGTCAATAATTCTTGTGTAAGTGTGCCTTCCATACGGCATGGGTCGCGGTGTATCGTTCTGTCACATGAAGCCTTTCTCCCCCTGGTCGATTTAAAGCTTCTTTTCTCTTAAAGTGTGTGTGTGTGTTTTGGGCTCAGTGATCGTCGCTACCGGTCTATAAACCATTTCTTCTTTGCCAAATGCCTCTGAATAGCATGGTCCGGGCTTGTATCTCTTCCGGGAAGCTTCTATTTCTCGGACCCCCCCTGCGTTTCGGGAAAATGGAGGCGGCCAAAACCACCGAAAGTTTGCGCCACGCGAAGCAAGGGGTGGACGTGGACAGAGGAGGCGACAGAGAGGCAGTGAGGGAGGGCGGGCAGGGGGCTCAGTCGGCGTCGAGGGAGAATACCGAGGAGCTCGAAGACGCAGAGAGTGGAAGCGCTGAGGAGGTGGCGTCGAGAGGGTTGAGGCCAGCAAGATGTGACGAAGGTCAAATAGAGGCGAGGGTTGACGAGGGCCTGGAAAGATGGAACATGAATGTTGGGGTGCCTTCCCAGTAAGCAAGAGGGATACAGAGGGGTCAGGGGGGAGGGAGGTGTCGTGGAAAGTAGCGCGTTGCATGGAGAAATAAAACGGGACAGGAAAAACAAAGGGAGAGGGGAGGGGCAGGAATCGAAGACTTTCGACCTCGCAGCGAAAGTCAGGGGCCTGGTGCGGCTCTCTCACGAGGCGAATGGGCGGGCGGGGGCAGGGGAGGGCTCGAATCGTGTGCGTAAAGGGAAATTTTTACGAAAAATTAGGGATACACATAGAAATGTACAGCTAAAAATGCAACAGGGTGTGATTATTGACGACCAAGCTTGTAGCGAGCATGTAAGAGGCGAACGGGAGTGGAGAGTGTCAGTAGGGTCGGGACTAAGAGCAGAGGGAGGTCATATATGGGACAAACGCCCCGAAAAGTAATTAAGAATAGGGCTTTACACAGGGAAAATGCACGTATGTATGTATGCCTCGCTTATTTTTACCACCAGGATATCCATCTTCTCCATCCACCCGATTCCCTTCCTTCCCTAACTCCCTCCCCCGCCTTCGCGGGCATAGAGGGGGAGTGTGACAAATTGACGTCTGGTTGTGGAGCCGCAGTGGCAGCGCGTGCACTCTCTTCTGCCTCTTTGGAAGAATTGAGGCTGAACGTGGGGGTCCTGAGCCGGCGGGCTACTTCACTCTCGACACCGAGCAAGCTATCCAATTGACCCATGTACCACCGCTGAATCTGATTATGCAACATGAGAACGGAGAAAAAATGTTAGCACTGAGGGTTTGAATTGTGGAATGGCACTGGAAAAGATCATTGGACGATGTGAACAAAGGTTGTCGTATTGGCGAGGCAGTGAGGAAGAAGTAAAGCTCGGGCACTCAAACATTTGTCACCTCCGTCACACCTGCTACGCACCTACCGGTGTAAAGACATGCTCTTTGTCCCCATAGTCTGTCAGAAAGACTAGTTGGAAGCCCGTGACAAGACAAATAACGCCCGTTGCCACTTTCCTGAGGCGAGTTGTTCACGAAAGCGAGGTAGAAAAAAAAATTATGAGCATCCTATCAGTTAACGTCATACAATCCACATACATACCACGCTCGCAGTGTCGAAGGCTTCAAGACTGGGCCCCCTCCTGACATACTTTCAAGTGTCAAGGCCTGTCCCAAGAGCTGAGGAAGGAGGTTTGCGTGAGAAACGATGGCGACAAGAGGATGTCGTTATCACGCCATAGAGAAGCACCACTGCTCCAAAAACAACATTAACAAAGTCACTGCATGCTTTTTGGCATTGTTTTAGGAGTACTGTTAAAAGGTCACAAAGGACATGCAAGGCCCCTCAGCTGCCCCGTGTATGCGTATGACGACGTCTCGAAGCAGGACTTGAGAACGAAGCTCAACCATGTGCAAAGAAATAAAGACAGATGTCTGACGAATAGAATGCGGCCAAACATCGTAATACTAGCCCTCGGCTCCACTATGGTAAGGCCATCGTTGTGCCAAAAGCGCTGCATGGTCACGCCGCGTCTCCTAGCACCCCCTGATTGCCCTCGTACCACGCCTACGCCCTACACTTGCACCCTTCTCCTTTTATCCCCATCTATTTTGGGGTCCTGAATCCGCCCCGTCCTCTCCTCGCCCCCGCATATCCTCCCCTGCTAACAATGTCGTATTGGGCCATGAGTGAATGCCTTACATTTCTCGATGTGTACACAGAATAGCGCACTTAGGGTAATGCCAGGCCGAGTCGAGCCGAGGTACCACCCGGCGGGATGCGCCCAGGGGGGTATAGACTTGGGGAAGAAGGTGTTGTCATGGTTTTAACTGTGTTGTATTTCTCTGTACCTCTCTTCTCCTTGTGGGTACCATCATTCTTGAAGGATCTTAACTAATAACTACGTGACGGGTGGCACGAGAGGGTGCGACTCCTGCCTATCGGTCTGTGTGACCTGGGATCTATTTGCATACGCGCGCACGGGGTAAACACCAAAGGAGAGACACCTGCACAATTCTTGTTCTTTTGTCTCTAAACTCTTGCGTGAGCTCGCCAGGCATTGTCACACGACTTCCCCGAGGTCCTTCTCCTCACCCTCGTAGAGCTCGCTGTTGACTTGCTATGAGGAGCGACCGGACACGTTTTTCACTCTTCCACGATGGCCCCCGCCGACGAAGCTGCAGAGCGAAGCGTAGCCATAGAAAAAATCAAATCGTTAGTAGACAATAATAAAGTCAGGCTTTTCGTGAAGCACTCAAAGCTTTTTGCCTGTGCAAACTCTCTACCACAACAGTCAATGTCTTTCTTGCGGCTTTGGACCGGAACAGCGAACGAGGAGCAGGTCCTCCACACAGCTTTTGTTTCTCGTAACTACTACTACGAGCGGCGACAAGCGTCAAAAAGCTGGAAAGAAGGTTCGGGACGACATAGCTAGAACGGGGGGGAGGCACGGAGCTAGGCGAGAAGTTCAATTAGCGAGGTAGACGAGCGACGGGCTAAGAGGTTCCTTGACTCGGCCATCACTCTCCAAAAGTTCGCGCTTTTTAACACCAGAACGTGGAAAATGCATGTGATTTTACGACAAGAGCTGTCAAAAGACGTGCCGAAACCGTGTTTAATTCTCGTCCTGCCTTTCCAATGGCTCTATGGAGTACCAAAGGAAGCATAAGGCATGATGTTCCAACCCTAATGCGTATCGTCCCACGGGGTAGGTTACACAGCACGTGTTCAAAGCAAGTCAGCTTGTGACGCCGAACTTGAAACATTTGATGTCTTGAGCGATAAGTGATGTAGGGTACCAGGTTGTGCTGACGGCTCCTCGCAGAAAAGCAAGGTCATGTGCGCATACACTTTTCATCTTTTCATGGAAGATTTTATACCAAGACATCAATTTCAAAAGCTCGGTAACGGACTTCCGTCTGATTCTTCGTGAGTGCAACAATTTTTTCACAGCAAAGTCAAGACCCGGTGCTTTTAAATTTAACATGCATTTATTTTTTCGAATACCTTTCAAGAGAAGCCCAACAAAGGTCTCAATATGGACGCAGTCCACCGTGATCGCTTCCGCAATCCAATGCCTCAAAAATGCATCTCCTCATCGCACAAATCCCCCCCCAATATGCATACATAGAGCTCCCGCCCAGACTATTTCCCCTTTGTGTACCACAGGCGCGGAGAATCTTCCCCTTCAGTAATTCTCAATCTTCATATACTTTTGACGGACATGAAAGTCCGCATTTTTCTTCACGTGCATTATTCTTCCTCCGTGGCAATCCCTAGGAGTCCTTCTCCACCGACAGCAGCCCCCACATCGCACGCCACCTCCTCCCCAGTTTCGCCCTGCATCAGCCCGGTCTCTACAATCATCCCGTCCATCCCCCCGGCGCCCCCCTTGACCCCCTCA